TGTACCCAGTGCTTGTATAAATAAATAAATAAATCTTAAAAAAAAAAAAAAAAAACACACTGCTGAGGGAGCAGCAGGTGAGACAGAAGAGGTCTGCTGCGCCATGTGGGTAGCTCCCTGGTTGGGGATCAAACTTGTGCTGCAGTGGCTGCCGATAGCTTCATGGTGCTAATGCTTAACCTCTTGAGCCACCAGGAAGGCCCTCTTTCTTATTGTAAAACTGTGACTACTATCTTCATGGTTCCCTCTGAGGAAACTGAAGACAGACTGAGAAGAGGGAGGCTGGTGCCCTCTGTACCCTTTGTCCTTGAATCAAGCTGTTGCCTCTCCTGGTAAGCGTGCTCTTTTCCCCAGACCCAGGTGACCGTCCCCTGCTCAACTAAGCTTCCGAGATGACCTCCCTCAAGCCACATTTCCAGGCCACATTTCCACTCTGGCAGGCCACACACAAGGCTCTTCACCCCACCTCTTGCCTGTTACCCTCAGTCCTGCTGGTTGCCCATGTCTGCTTCCCTGGGCCAAGGGTCATCAAGTTTGCCACACCCCCACACCCAGCTAAAGGGCCAGGACCCAGCAGGCAGCAGTATTTTCTGAATAGATGATTAAATAGACAAAGGAACAAGCTGCTGGGAGGAAAAGTGCCCTGCACCCCAAAGCCAGGGCCCAGAAAACCTGGGCCCTGCCCTCCCTTCTTCCCAGTGTCCCAGCACAGTGAAACCAGCTGTTAGATCTGTTTTGTTTTCAATTGTATTTTTTGTATGCTGATCTCTTGTATTCCCCCCTTCCTGGCCTCTGCAGTTCTGACAGGTTGGGACAAACTTGGTCTCTGCTGTTATTTCAACCTCAGATAAATCTGACAGAGAAGTTAATGCTGGGAAAGCCCTCCTGACAACACAATGGCAGGTCGTTCAGCCAGAAATTACCCACATCTGCTGAGCATGAATGGATTTATTTTGGCAAATGTATAAACATGTTATATGAGTCTAACCAAAGTATAGCCAGAGAAAAGAAACTGGAAGCAAATATGCCAACATATTTTGGGTGGTGAAAATGTGAATAGTGGCTATAAGATCTTTATGCTTCTTTTAAAAAAGATTTTATTTTTATTTATTTATGCATAAAAGAACAGGGGTGTAGGCCAGATGGAGGGGACATGAGAGGATTCACCACAGACAGTGGGGAATGGAGCAGAACAGGCAGAGCCACTGAAATACACTGCTGAGGGGAGCAGCAGGCGAGACAGAAGAGGTCTGCTGAGCCATGTGGGTTAGGTCCCTGCCAGCCCAGGGATCCAACTCATGCTGCAGTGGCTGACAATAGCTTGATAGTGCTGAGACTTCAACCCCTATGCCACCTCTTTCTTTCTTTTTTAAGGCTCTGCCTTGCTGAATCAGGTGCAACCAAGCACAGAAACTCCTTGCCAGTTATGTTCCCCCATCCTGAAGGTGCAAGACCTGATCTCTAACACCTCCCTTGCCTCAAGTGCTCCTGGCCCACCCTTCCTGAGCCCTGGCCCTACCCTTTCTGAGGTCTGGCTTTTACCTCTGCGACCTATCCCACAGCCTTCCAACACATCAGGTTTTTTCTTAAATTAGCGAGGTGGTACTTTCTGTTTGTTACTTGACAGCTGAAGTCCTAACATGTGCAGCAAGTGCTGCAGGAGATCATCCAGGTGTGTGCAGTTTGTGTGTCTAAATTGGTATAGCATGCTAGTTAGGATTTGCATCTGCTTTCTGTGCAATATCTGGTTTGTAATGAAGCCAGAGTTAAACTGCAGTCATCAATGTGATTCTGGAAGACCAGAATCATGTGGTCTGGGCACTTGCCTTGCTGGCAGTCAGAGGAGTTTGAGAGATTGGCATCATATCCCTTAAACCATTTCTCTGGAATAAGAGATCTGTGTGGCTAAGTAGCATGACTGTGTGGAGGAATAGAGCAAAGTAAAGTTGTGGAATTCTGCAAACATCCTGACTTCCAGACTGGGTTGCTGTATAAAGTGGGTCCTGGGAGCTTCTGAGTCTGCATACAACCTGTTTTCAGGAAAATATTGACAGCAGTGAGGAGGCAGATGGGTGACAGTGCCTGACTTTCATGTGTCCTCCCACCATATATTCTGGTCTCAATTGCACCTGGGTTTTTGCTCAGAAAACCTCCTAAGTGTCCCTGCACACTCTCCTTTTGAAAGCAGCTATGTCCAGTCTCCATCTTCTTAGGTCTTTGACACCTGCCCCTTACCCTCCTCCCCCAACCTGTCAGTAAGAACAGACATTGGTCACGAGGAGACACCCTCATCTTTCCTGGAGACCTACAATGTAAGACTTGCCCCCCCATTCCTCCTGGAGCCAACCCCTCCCATCCAGCGACATCTTTCTCCATTCTCCTCCTCTGAACATCGTCAGTCTTGTTCTCCACCTTATTGCTTTCAGCATTGAAGCATAATGAAGTTGCTCCTACCTTAAGGCAAATAACCCTCCCTTAATCCTGGCTTCTCTGGTCTGCCCTGTTTTCCCCAGCAACTTTCACCTACAAGTGTTTTGAGTGTTGCCCGTCTTCAGTCTTTCTACTTCCCTCCGATTTGTGACTTTTGCCTTCTGACACCATACTCTACTGACCAGGTGGGTTTGGTAGCATAGCCTCTAGATCATTTCTCTGGACTATCAGTTACGTCAGCCTCGCTGTAGGCGGGAGTGTATGGTCTGTCTAATCAGTGTGACCACGTGGACGAAGTGAAAAAAACAAACTGTGAAGTTCCTAAAGCTAGTTGTCAGAAACCTGGACATCACCCTCAGTATTTCACTCTCCATCCTCTAGACTGAATCAACCCCCACGGCTTAGTCACTGTGCCTTCTAAACAGTTCTTAAGTCCATCATTAGCTTCTCTCCACCCCAACAGGGCCTTAAAACTTACCATGTTACCTTACCCTTACCTCCTTCCACCCAGTCTCCCCATGGTGACAGAATCTTTTTAAAACCCAAATCTGGTATGTTTCCTTTGCTTGAAGTCCCTCAATTTCTTTAATCTAGTTCATGTAATCTGACCCTCAACCTGTGGGAACAGGAACAAGGGGACACTTACTCTCAGGTGCCAGCCGGGGAACTTCTACATCCAGAAAGGTCTTGTAAGAGGTCAATGGAAATAATTTAAAGGTCACAGGTGACTATAAGAGATGATCAGTGGAGAAGAAAGTACAATTAACAAAGGTTAAGAAGGACATGGAGGCTGGTTGTGTAAACTCTTTCAGCAGGGAAGGAGACAGAGCAGTGATTTGTGGGTAAAGCAAGATTAAAGTTTTGTCAGGGAGGAGACACCATTTTTAGATGGAACATAAAGAAATCCGAGCAAATGAAACAAGGATAGTTGTTAGTAACTGTTCGGGCGATGACACAGATGGAAGAATGAGCACACACTGCTGATAGGAGTATAAATAACTTCTCTGGACTACAACTTGGAGAAAACACAAACGTTAAAAAAAGTAAAAATTTCCATTCCTTTTTGACTCAGCAACTTCAGTTTTAGGGTTTTTTTTTTCTCCTGAGAAAACAAGCATGGATGTGCACATTTAGTTACAGGGATGGTTCCCAATCTGTTCTCTTGAAAAGCAAAAATAAGTGGGGCCTCCCTGGTAGCCTAAGGGGTTAAATCACAGCACTATCACCACTATGGCCTGAGTTCGATCCCCGGCCAGAGAGCTAACCCACATATGGCACAGCAGACCTCTCTCGTCTCGCCTGCTGCTCCCTCAGCAGTGTATCTCAACAGATTCACCTGTTCTGCTCCCCACTGTCTCCGGTGAATCCTATCATCCCCTGCACCTCTGGCCTACACCCCAGTTCTCTTACATAAAATAAATGGAAAGAAAAAAAAAGCTTAATCACCTAAATGTCACAAGAGGATTCGTATGGTACAACCATCCAGTGAAATACTGCAGTGGTTAACAAATAGAAAAATATGTGTGTAAAGTAATATAGCATTTACAATATACTCCCATTTCTGCAGGAAAAAAAAGTCTTAATATGTAAATTCTGGAAGCCACACATCAGAATATTAACGAAGGCCATCTTTGGAGTGTGATAAGAATTTTTGGTTTCTTTGCATTTCCTAAATTTTCCTATCACGAAAAGGAATTATACTTGAATCAGGAAAATAATTTATAAAATCATACAGTCCATTTATGTTAAGGTCAAGAATTGCAAAACTTCTATGGTGAAAGAAGTGAGCACAGTGGTATTCTCAGGGGTTATTAACTGGGAAGATGCACAAGGGAACTTTCTGGGGTGATAACATTCTGCATCTTGGTTTTGGTATACTAGGTAAAATTTTATCAAGTTGAGGTTTAAAATTTGGGCATTTTACTATGTGTGAATTCTATCTCTTCTAAAGGAAATATACCCAGAAGGCATATGGGAGAGAGGAAGCAGTGAACAACACAGAACAATTTTGAGGTGAGAAGGGAAGACGAAGTTCTGTGACAAGACCTCACATTTCTCAGGAACTGTGTTGTTGTAGTAATGAGTGAAGAGGCAGGTGGGCTTGAGAAAGGGGAACACAGAGTACAGAGCCCACGAGGAAGTAATACACTGGGGGTATCCCAGAGCTGGATCAAGTAAAGAGGCCCAACCCCCAGGGCCCCACCACTCATTATGTATACTAGGGTTCTGCGGCTCAAACAGCCAAGGAAGAAGTCATTTTAGGAAATTTGACAGTCAGTAGTGGAGAAAGGCATGAAACTAAAATAATTCTAGCAGGGAGGGCTGTGATGAGTTCGGAGGGACAGAAAGGCTTGCGGACAGAATAGGGATAGCAGAGTTAAGAGGGATAAAGGTGTAGGCTGAGAGGGATTGGTTCTGAGGTCGAGAGAGCTCCAAATGAAGGCAAGCTCAAAGCCTGGCCCTGCTGGGAGGGAGAGAAGGCAGCAAATGTTTACTAAGCATTGTCTACCCAGCGCCAGGTACTTGACATGTATCATCAGGCTTAAATGGCTCTGAATTTTTTTTTAAAGATTTATTTATACAAGAACTGGGGGTACAGTCAGAGGCACGGGAGGGTGAGAGAATTTACCAGTGGGGAGCAGAACAGGCAGACGGACTGAAGATACTGCTGAGGGGAACAGCGGGCACGGCAGGAGAGGTCTGCTGTGCCATGTAGGATTCTCGCCGGCTGGCGGGGATCAAACCCGCGCTGCAGAGGCTGCGGACAGCTTCATAGCACAGCGCTCAACCCGCTGCGCCACCGGGGAGGCCCTGGCTCTGAATTTTTAATCAGATATGAGGATATGTCAAATCAACAAGCAGGATTTGGTACCAGGTAGTCTGTCAGAGTTGGAGTATTCCCTGTGTCGAGGCAAGAATTTTATATGCAAGCTCCACCATCAAATGTAAAATGTTTAATTTTTAGTGGATTTGACTTACGGTGAATACATTCTTTCAGAACTTAAGCGAGCAGCAGACACTCCAGTTTACACTTAAGACGTAAACTTAAAAATGAAGGCCCCATATCTTTGGAGAAGCAACAGGGCAGACTGATGGTGACAAGAATCCATAACTCACAGGGGTGAGTTCTTTGCACAAGGGCAGAGAGGGAGGAAGAGAAATGCAAAGCACCAAGGCTTAAAATTTCTCTCGGAAACGAAAATGAGCAAAAATACCCAGGAAGGGAGTTCCAGCAGCACACAATCTGTTAAACCAAGTGACTCTTCTCTGGTCACTTCTTTGCAAGGACAGAGGTCTATGCAGAAGAAATGGCAAATTCCTTAAGAAATTTTGGGTCATTACTAGAAGAAAACATTCCATCAAAATATACTACCACAGGGAGAAACAAATGCTCAATGACCTGTCAGGTGCTACATCTACGTCTATTTGATTAAACAATATAAACTTACTCTGACTTAACGTCATTTATAGTTGGGGAACCTAAAGTTCTGGTTGCTGAAGAACTTGTCTGAGGTCCTGAAGCCGACAAATGACAGAAGCAGGCTTTGAAGCTAAATTTGGCTGCTTTCTATTATACCACACTGCCTAAGTTTATGCCCATTTCCACAGGCACACACCATATAGAGATCCAATTTAACTGTTTCTCCGTTGGCTAAGCAAAATCCTGGTACCTCTCACGATGTTTTCCAATTTCCTCCACACACACAAAATTATCTAGCAGATCTCTCCTAGATAGAAAGACCCACAACTTAACCAAATTTGTTATAAAACATTTAATGTTAACCTACAATACAATGTAAACTTTTATGAAAAAAATTTTAAGTACACTAGATTTCTTCAGTAAATTATCACATAACTATTCAGGTGCAGTACAAGTTGGGGCACTGCATCTTTTGTGGATTTCCTGTTGCTGCATTCCTCACAAGTCCTAAAAAACCAGTTGTAAAGTGGAGCTCCTTGTCCAAGCACCAGAAAATACTCCCAATTTTGCATTCTGGGGATTATCCTTCCCAAGTTTGTTTTCTGAAACTCTTTCCTTGGCCTTGGTTGGCACCATTAGCAATTTTCATAATGACTGCTCAGGTGGAAGATTCTAGTTTTTTTTTTTTTTTTTTTTTCTTTTAAGAGATATTCTCCTCTGGCCAAATACAGTGAAGGCAAGCAAAAAGAATTATTTGCTGTACGAGTCTGCAGAAGTGGAAGAAAAGACCAGAGAGGCCCACTAAGGCTGCCAAAATTCAATGAACTCCAATTGGATGTCTTTGCTTGGTCATCTCCCATGGTTATTCAGCCGAATCTACAGGTCTTGGGACCGCAGAACAAAGCTCAAAACAAGTGTTGCTTAGTCGACGACTGCCATTTTAAAGGAAGAGCTGAAAGAACCCACAGGTGATTTGGAAATGAGTAAACGCTTGCAGACTCTTGGCTTCTCCGTTTTTCTCCCTTGTAGGTGCCATCGAGCTCCCATCGGCCCCTGGGGGTGAGATTGTACTGGCAATGTGACAAAATGTGCACCTTTCATGGAGGGAGATGGCACCTAGGCCACAGCTCCAGAGCCAGCAAGGAGACAGGAATGGGGTATGTGCAAAGCAGGGCTGCACAACACGGACTGGGAAGGAGCATGTGCTTCAGGTGAAGCCTCTTGAAACCTAAAGTAGATAGCAGGCCATCCCAGCACTGTACCGACAAAAACAAGAGGCTTTTTCTTAATATCTGACTTCCTCACTAAACAAATTATCAAAAGGCAAGAGGCATAAAGTGCATATTGTAGATGCAGATTTAATTATTAAAAAATTTACAACTTCCCAAAGAGGTATGGGCAAGATACTCAGTACAGGCAGCCTCACAAAGGTCTTTTGACACCTTCCTGTGTATTAGGGCAAGAAAACAGGTGAGAATTCCAGACTGGGAGTCTCTAAGTGGGAAAATTTCTGTGTGTGTGGCCGTCAACAAAGTAGACTTCACATGCTGTTCAGTGGAGTACATGGTTTATCCTGTTGTCTGTTTCAGATACACTTTATGACTCCAGATAGTGATTCCCACTCATCTGGACTTTTACAGCAGGAGACAAAGGGAAAGAATATGATGTAGTTGGGAAAATTACACTTTCCTAGAGACGTTGTTCGAAACACTTGTGCCAAGGTAACTGGCTCTGCAGGTGACACTCGTGAAGCTCCCCAGCCACTCCTTGGTGTTTACCCCAACCAGAGGTGTAGAAAATAACTACATCACTGCTACCTATAAGAGCGGTCTTTAGGTTTGTTAAGCAAGACTGCAAATCTAGCAGGTTTTGTTTCATCTTGATCTGAACCCCCGCCTCACAGCACGCTAGGAATTAGTCACATCAGAAGTTGCAGCATTACAAGTCTACACCAGTCTAGCTATAGAACACTTTGGAATACTTGTCAGCTCATGCTGGCCTCTGCTGATACATGGCCTGAGCCATGTACCCATTACCATAAACTCAACCACAGATGAGACATCCAGAGGTTAAAAATCCCTATTACTTCAACACAGCAATAGGAGGAAAAAGCGGCCTCCAGTAGGGGGCTCTGTCAGAAACTGAAATGTGCCACCCAACACTTTACACAGGCTCCCTTCAAAGCCCCTGTTCCAGCCCTACAACATCACTACCTCATGTGGTTCTGCTAGTTCTACCACAGGCCCTGCTAGTCCTTTGGAAAGGCACCAAGTTGGCAATTCAGAAGCGCTTAGGGTTGGGCAGGAACCGCACGCACGTGTCCGTAGAGGAATGAAGAGCTGCTGCCCTCTGGTTCAGACCCATAACCACCACCTGGTAGAGTCCAAGGAAAAGCTGCGGTCTTGTGGACAGGCACTCCCTGTCTGTATGGTGCATCTATACATACACAGTCTCTGTGGGGCTACAACCCCAATTTCCTTCCACTGCTCCAAGTGGGTTGGACTGCTGGCATGAAAGGACAGCATGAGTTGGACCATAAACAACAACTTCTCTGGGAACTTGAGAGGGACAATGGCAGAAATAAGCACAAACCAGCCCAGGGCACCTTTATTACATGCTTGTGGGTTAAGGAGCCCAGGGCGTGAACTCATAGGATTAAGAATTGGCTCTTTATCAAATAAATTTAAGGGAAAAAAAATACACCTGTCAGCCTCATTCCTTTGGTCATTACAAAGAAAATTTTAAGTTATTTATAAATTGCGGGAAGTGCAAGGAACATCTCTGCTCTGTGCCTTCTCTTCCCTTTCTTCTCCAGGGTTGGAGAAGTGAGTCCTCAGAATATGCTGCAACAGCTGGTTGATGGAGGTTTTTTCACTTTTATTTTCATAAAAGCAAGAATGAGTGAGAACTAGTGGGAATGTCCCCTTCCCCAGTTGGGACAACAGCTGGGTGGGAGGCGAAGAGTCTCCTTCCGTTGGAAGGCGCGCTGCAGAGGCAGTAGGGAAGGGCAGGCTTGCCGGTGGGAACGTTCATCGCTAACCTCGTGCGCACACACAGGTGGTGACTCTTGCAGGCAGCATGGTTTCTGATCCTTCCTTAGGATACAGCAGTCTTTTAAAAAAAATATTGTATTATAATAATATGAATTTCTCTCTCTTTTTTGTTTTGTTTTTTTTTTTTTGGCTTTTTTTTTCCATTTCTTTTAGGGGTTGGGGTGAGAGGGAGAGGAAGAAAGTGTCATTCGTCTGTTAGGTCCTGAACAAAGAGAACTTCTGTATGGCTGAGTCCAGCTTCCTGCAGTGTGGGGGGGTTGGGCCACTCCTCTGAAGGGATGCAGGGCAGTACCCGCCGGGGAAAGTTGGCTTCAATCTGAAACTTTTCAGGGCTTTCTTTCAATGAGAATAAGAAGTCATGGATTACCTACAGAGGTCACATAGAAAAAGAAAGGTGGTGAGAAAAAGACAAAAATCAAAAGACGAACCGCCACACACACAAATATGAAATCAGAAATCCCTCATCTCTCCCCAACATGACTCTGACATATGAAGTCTTCATGATATACATTGGAATTCCACTTTGAGGGCTTTTCATTTCACAGGGCAAATGCACCAAGGAAGTTCTTTCAAGAGATGTATTACACATCCCAATGCTAGCCCTATGTTGAGTTGATTCATCTGTTTTTTTCTTTGAGAACTTGTCTAATACAAAGCAACAAAGCTTTAGTTAGAAATAATCAGTTCCACAAAAGTTGGAAGTATAGGACATAGAATTTCTTCTTTCAACCAGCTGAAAGCAAGCTGCCAATCTGATGTTCCACCATCCCAGAATAGTTGTGTATGTCTTACTAACATACACAATATCTTACCATAACCATAACACAGCCCTCAAAATCGGGAAATTTAAGTGATACATTACTGTAATGTAATATGCACAATTCAAGTTTGGCCAGTTGCCCTTTACAGCAAAAGGATCCAACTTAGAATTGTATTGCATTTAGTTGTCAAATCTCCTAAGCCTCCTCCTTTAGCCCGGAACAAACAAATCCTCAATCTCTCCTTTGACTTGCACAACCTTGGCACGTCTAAAGGCTACTGGTCAGTTATTTTGCACACTGTCTCTCAATTAGTTTGTCTCATATTTACTCACGATTAGTATTAGGAATACTACAGAAATGATGCTACATTATACTCAATACTTCCCTTTCAGGTGGAGCACAATTTCAATGTGTCATTATTTATGAAGTTCATGTTTATGACTTGATTACAGTGATACCTGGTTACCTCTCTACTGTAAGTTATTCTCCTTTGTAATTAAGAGTATTTTGTGGAGAGGTATTCTGAAACTATGGAGACACTGTACTCCTCAAACTTTCAATTTATTTATTTATTTTAATAGTCATAATTTCCTATCTTACTCAATAAAGTCAATGTTACTATAATTTATTTTAATGTTTAAATTGCTCCTGATGTAACCAGAAGGAGCTTGGTCAAGCTGGCCTCTGTGTCTTTCTAATATGTCTCCATTGTTCTTTTGAAAAATTCCTTTCTGTTTGGCATAAGGTGTTACAGGCTCGCTCATTTTATATTTTCCCTGCTCTGGCCCTGGAACCAGCCATTTCTCCAAAAAGTTCAGGTTCTTAACAGACAATGATAATTAAAAGTCATGATCAAGGTTTTACTAAGTATGTTCACTGTTCTTACTCACTGCTACTCTCAAGGATTCTCTGTGGAGAAAGAGAACATGTGTATATATACATCTAAATCTATTATTTTCATAAATATATTGAAAATCCAATTTCATACCCTGCACTCCTGCGTGCACCCATCCTCACCTAATCTTGGCTTTTTAAGTTCCACCCTCACCCTGGGATTCTCAGGATCTGGCTTCGCTGTGTCTACATGTTCTTAACCTGATTTGAGACTTGATACCATCCTGGACCTTTCCTCAGTGGGAATGCCCTCTGGTTCTGACAAGGCATAGCTAAATTCTTGAGAAGTAAGGCGACATGAGGAAATCTTACACTGCTAAAACTTAAATGAGATACCCGTGAAACAGGCCACCTTTACCTTTCCCTGACTCTGAATGCTACACACTAAGACCAGGCACACTGGTCTACTTAATGGCCTTCTTCATCCAGTATTCTCTTTCTAACAGACTCTAAGGGATGCGATATAAGAGCATTGTTAACTTTCTTAAGGCCAAATCCAAAGATTAGAAATATATCACTCAAGCTAGTTTTTAGAGGGATTCTATTTTCTTTCTGTTCTACCTTTCATAAGTCTGTGTGAAACACTTCTCCCTTCATTTGTCTTAAGCTTCCTTCTCTAGAGCTTTTAAGGGAATACACCTCCAAACTTTAGGGGTAAACCCATGTTGCTCTTATCTAATCTAGTCATGATTTTGTAAACTTCTTATATTTTGGTCTATCAATGTCAATCATTTTCCACTTCTTCCTTCTGATAGCAATTTCTATTAACATTTACTCGCCTTTTCTTGAGATGCATCGATTAGACTTGCACCAAGTATTCTTGGTATGAATCCAACATAGGTTTTATGTAAGGTTGAAATAATGCATCTTTTTCTTTCAATCACTACTTGAGAATACTCAACATTGGCATAAAGTGGCACTTTTTGTTTACCACTGACAATGGATTACCAGCATCAGGAAACAGATCATCACCCTCTTTGGTTTGTAGTAGATAGAAAAATAAGTTCCGGGCTGAGTATAATTTGGATTCTCTATTACATGCATTACTTAAAAGAAGCTCAGCTGTGACTTTTCTACCTAATGATTTTTCTACAATTTATCTTTTTTATTTTAACATTTTACCAGTCAGGAACTGAGCATCACGGGTAAATTGAATATTTCACTGAATTCACTCTTGAGATAATGAAACAGGCAGGGTCCACAGGAACACAACACAGCTGCAAGAGTACTAAGAAACTACAGATCATTATTCTCTTACGCATTAACTCTATGAAGGTTATTCACTCTATTAAAGGTCACTAAGTTACTTATTCTCCTTTATATTTCTTTCTTATTATGAGTCTACTATCCATTCACAATTGACGAGTATTTTTCTCAATCTGATAATTGGGTTTTTGTTTATTTAAAAAATACTTGTTAGTGAGGATATATAAATGCCTTGAAGGATTAAATAGTTAAATGGGTTGCTTCCTCTGTGGCCATAGCCCAATATATTCCACAATTCAAACAAGTTTTCCCCCAAAACTCTCAACAGAGTAAATGCTAGTTAGGTTTTGCACATAAGCAGTGTTTGGGGATTAAAACGCCATATTAGCTCAAGAGTACTGCATAGAAACTGTTCAAGAGGATATAGCTACAAGCTAAAACCCATATGTAAACCAGAAGGTTGGAAACATAACCAGGGGAAGCAACCACCTGCTGCATGGTAGGTACATGAGGCTCATTCCTGTTATCCCAGTTAAAAAACCCAAAATTAGCAAATGAATACCTTCCCCTAATATAAACAAATGCATAAATGATAAACAAAAGAGAAGCTATTTGCTTCTCTCTCCCACGGATGCCCATAACTTTTTACTGTATTCTCTATTTACTCAGCACAGTGTCTGACAAATTTCAGTTTAAAGCTATTAGAAGACTGATTATATCAATATATCCCTTTTACATATGGGACATCTGAGGTGTTGTAAAAAATTCACTAACTTGCCCAGTGTTTTCTATTTAACAAGGAGAAGTAATGCATGTGCTCCCCAGCCTCACATAACTACAGGGTATCCTCATTCCTTTTACACAGTTTACTCTTGACTATTTCAAGTGATCAAGGAAATGGCAGAATATACTTACATAAGCATATCGCATTTTATTGTACTTAGCAAAATTTAGCTTAAAAAAAAAAAAAAAAAAAAAAAAACCCTGCATTGAATAAGTCTATCAGCACTATTTTCCCAAAGAAAACATGCACTCACTTCGTATCTCAGTGTCATTTTTAAGTAAGGGATGCGCACTATTCAAAAGATGTACTGCTATTGCATGCATAATAGACTGCAGTGTAGTATAAACATAACATTTATATGCACTGGGAAACAAAAGTACTCCTGGGATTCACGTTATTGTAGTATTTGTTTTACTGCAGTGATCTTAAGAACCAAACCTGCAATATTTCCGAGGTGTGCTTATAGTTGTAAATCTGGAAAGGTAACATACCAACCAACTCTCAATATAACCAGAGTATCTTCTGATACACTTCATATGTGAATTTAAGTCTAACAATTCTATTAGTGTCTATCATACCCACTTCACAGATAAGAAACTGAGGCTTACATATTAAGTATACTGACCAAGGAAAAACATCTAAGCCACTCGGGAAGAATGAGAATTTCTCATTTCACGAGACTGTAAGAATCACTGCTTTTAACTACTTGCTATGCAATGACAAACACTACCTATGGGTACCAACTAGGCAAGAAATCCCCACTTTGTGGGGCTTCTTATGCATAGGAATGAGTAGGAAGAAGAATAAGTGCATGAAAAGTGCTTGTGCACTATTTATATCCAAACATGTAATTCCAGAGCTTCTCAGCCAGTGGAGACCAGGCTTTTTCTACAGAGCAAAGGGTTCTGGTAAGACTCCAAAGTCAGAGTAAGCCATGCAACATGGAAGAGCTTCCCATCTCAAGCAAAAGTCTTTTGTGGGATTTCTTGGAAAGGTATTTTTCTTAGCAGAACTCAAAAATGATGAAAGATAGTAACTGTTTTGAGTTGACAGCTAGAACTGAGGGAACCTTCAAGAGCACACTGTACTCTGCTCTCACCTCCCACCTCCTCTGGATACCAGAGTAGCAGATAAACCAACAAGGGGTGTGCAAATATACAGTCCAGACCCTACATTTATTTCACATAACTCAAGTGCTCCTTACTGTTAGAGACTGTGAAAAGTGAAATCGTCTCTCCACTCGAGAATCATTGGGTAATTTGAAAATGATCTTGACACTTTCAGGGTCATCGGGGGAAGGTTCTGGGGGCAGGCACTCCAACTTCCTTTCCTTTTCCTCCTGTAAATTCTGTAGATACACAAAGCAATGATTGGGTTATAACTCTAATAAGGAAAATGGAAGCAAGAAATACAATCATCATGTAGGTTTATTGTGCAGTCAGGAAAAAAAAAAAACAAATAGCAGAAGAAAAACTTGGCAAGAGTTAGAACCTAATTCAGGGTAGTACTGCATCAAAAGTATTATATATTGGGGCCTCCCTGGTGGTGCAAGGGGTTAAGCACCCCACTATGAAGCAATCCACAGCCTTTGCAGCACGAGTTCAATCCCCGGCCGGCCAGGGAGCAACCCACATTGTGCAGCAGATCTCTCCTGTCTTGCCAGCTGCTCCCCTCAGCAGTGTGTATCAGTCAATCTGCCTGTTCTGTTCCCCACTCTGTCTCTGGTGGATCCCCTCACACCCTGCATCTCTGGCCTGTATCTCAGCTCTTGTATGCATAAATAAATAAATCTTAAAAAAAAAAAAAGTATTATATATTGACGATGTTCAGGTATTTGAAAAAATGGGAATGACTAAACAACGCTGGCTATAATCAAGTCGTAATACATAAGCAAGGTCCTGATTAGCTTAGTTGCAGTACTGGGACTAAATACTTAAATACTACTGTGAATAAACAGCATTTGAACCGCTTACTGTCTACTTACCCTTTGTTTTCTTTTTTTTTTTTTTAAAGATTTATTTATTTATGCATACAAGAGCTGGGATACATGCCAGAGGGGTGTGGGGGGTGGGTGTGGGTGAGAGGATTCACAAGAGACAGAGTGGGGAACAGAACAGGCAGACTGACCTAAGCACACTGCTGAGGGGAGCAGCGGGCGAGTCAGGAGAGGCCTGCTGCACCATGTGGGTTGCTCCCTGGCCGGCCGGGGGATCGAACTTGTGCTGTAGAGGCCGCGGAAGCTTCATAGGTTGCGTCTTAACCCCTTGCGCCACCACAGAGGCCCCTACACTTACTTTTTTTGTTGTTGTTGTTGAATCTTTTTTTTTTTAATATTTTATTTTATATAATTCTCACATCATTTTTCATCTTTGCACAATGCATGCATTTTCATTTCGGTTATATTCCCCACACAATTGCATACCCCCCGCCCGCCCCCTTATTTTGACTCTAGTTCTTCCTGTCCCCGCTCCTCCCTCCTCTCCGCCCCCAACCCCGCCCTGTAGTGTGTCTCTGGTTTATAGTTGCTTGTTGATTTTGATTATTACTTTGTATTGATTAGTCTTTTTCCTGGTCTCTTATTTAGGTTTTCTAAATTCCTCCTATGAGTGAGACCATGTGGTATTTTTCTTTTTCTTTCTGACTTATTTCGCTGAGCATGATCCCTTCTAGCTCCATCCATGTTGCTGCAAGCTGCATGTGTTTATCTTTTTTGATTGCTGAGTAATATTCCATTGTGTATATGTACCACATCTTCTTGATCCAGTCATCTATTTTTAGGCATTTGGGTTGTTTCCATATCTTAGCTATTGTAAATAGTGCTGCTATAAACATAGGCGTGCAGGTACCTTTTGGAATTACTGTTTCTGTGTCATTTGGTTAAATACCTAGGAGAGGAATTGCTGGATCACATGGAAGCTCTATGTTTAGTAGGTCAAGAAATCTCCACACAGCTCTCCATAGCCCTACACTTACTTTTCATAGAGCAGAGTTGTTTAACCTTTTACTTGCCATTGTATTTTTTAATATGTACTTTTTATTTTTTTAAGGTTTATTTTATTTATGCATACAAGAGCTGGGGTGTAGGCCAGAGGTGCAGGGGGTGAGAGGGTTCACCAGAGACAGAGTGGGGAGCAGAACAGGCGGATCCACTGAAAAACACTGCTAAGGGGAACAGCAGGCAAGACAGGAGAGGTCGGCTGTGCCATGTGGGTTTGATCCCTACCCAGGGCTCAAACTCATGCTGCCGACAGCTTCACTGTACTGAGACTTAACCCCCTGAGCCACTAGAGGGCCCCTAATATGTATTTTTTTAATTTAAAAATACTTCTTGTGAAAATGCAGTAGTCAAAAAAATGGCATGGAGGATCTAAGTGACACACAAGCCCATTATCTTCTAGTTTTTTCCTTTTATACTTAAAAAAAAAAAAACCAAAAAAAAAAAACCCAGTTTGGGGAGTCACAGGAGTAAAGATGGAGTTATTACCCTCCGCCGCCTCTCCTCTGCCAACTTTTGCTGCTGCACCTCCTCCTCCTTCCGCCGCTTCCGCTCCCGTTCTTCACGCTTCTTTCTTTCCTTCTCCTGGTCAGCCCTCAGAGACGCCAGGTAGGCCTCATCCTGCTGCTGCCTCAGCACCTGGGTCTGGTTTCGTTCTTCCCTGTAGACAGATCAAAAGCAAAGACAAAAACAGCAATCTTACAAAAATTCTGTTTTCTTACATTGAAATTTTTTGGGGGTAAAAAGGTCAACAATCTTAGCATGTGGTTATTTTACACTACCATAAGGGATTCCAAAGCAAAGCACTGCAGAATCAGATGAACCATCTCTTTTCCCAGCTGGGAGAAAAAGAAATGGCAAGCTTTCTGCTCCCTCTTTTAACTTTTCAAATAAAACTACCTCACCCCAACCCAATTCTAACAAAACTAACATAATATTATTGTTATAAAATCATTAAGATTCAATTTTACAGGTTATACCCTTTTGGGTTACTGTATCTTTTGCATACACTGTTTGCGTAAAGCCAATAAATCACATCTACACATCTTGGAAGATTTGAAAAATGTAAAAACATTTCAGTCAGTGTTCCAATCAATGAGAAATCATTGTAACATATTAGTGTAGTTCCTATTTTCTATCCAAAAAATTGTGAACGTATACCAATGTGTCTCTATAAATTTAAAGAAAACAACAAAATATTAAAAGTAGTGGCAGGATTATGGGCAAGTTAAAATTTCTCCTTTGTGCTTTACAATTTTTCCTACAATTAATGCTATTACTAATGGAGTGGGTGGGAGTTATAATTAGCCTTCATTTTTTTACATTTAAGCCCCTTATAGAATGTTCTGCTATCCTAAACGACCTAATATACATTCTGTAAGATAGAGCACTATCTTTATTTTGAATTACATCTCAAATAACAGATGATCTGATGGAGAACTATTTAGATGAAAGAAGGTCAACATTTTAACACTAAATGGACAGAGCTTTTAAAGTTGTCTAAGAAATAGAAGTGATGATTTGGAGGAACCTTAAGTCTACATAGCTGGTCTCTCAGTTCTAGAGAGGAACTCCCCTGTACCTTTCTAAGCGTTCTGACACCAGATAAGTCTGATTTGCATCCATGATAAATGTCAGCTGGTTAATGAGGTCGTCAGGTTGAATGAGGCCTTCTAGCCGTCCCACTACAGTCATCCTCCGATCCTTCAGCATAATCATGGCCAGGAATGGATACGTGTTCTCTCGTAAAGCCTGTGAGACTGACAGAAAGAAGACCCAAACAGATGAAGGGCAGGACTTGGGTATGAAACAGATCACCTCTTAGAACCTTCCACAATGAATAAGTTGGGAAAGAAGGGAGGTGTCATTTATTCTCTGCCTAACTTTTCTTCCCCCTTCTTAATCTTTTTGTTGTTACTGTATTTACGACCCTATTTCCAGGTTGTTTGATAAGAATAGGACAGGCTTTTCTGGTGGTGGTGTGGCTGTCCTAATGATTCTAGGGAAGGTTGAGAGTTCAAGAACACTGTCCATCTGATGTATAGGAAATAATCTATAAAGAATCTGGCTATTGTTTAGCACAATTTTCCATGTCAGGAGTTAAGTCTAAAGGGGACAAGATTGCAAATCAGCTTTATGCTGTCAATAATGATCTCCACCCATATTTTTTTTAAATGAAGATTTTGTTATTCTTTCTTCATTTTTCTTAACTGCATTATTTATTGAGGTAAATGTTGGTATATAGTACCATATGTAATTCAGAGGCTTGCACCTTTTCAGCTATCACTATCTTCTCTTTTTCCCTCTTATTCAATCCCTCCCTTACCCCTTCTTTCATCTCTCTTCCTCTCCCCCTCAAAAGAGCTAGCTTTTCTGTTCCAAAGGAGTTTAGGAAGTTGGACTTCCAAATAACTAAGATTTATCACAATGTAGCTTTACCTATATTTTTCAGAGATTTTATAAGCTTCTATAAAAGACATCCGAAGTTCCCTTCTATCCACAACTCCCACCCCTTACCATATTAGAATGGTGAAATACATGCTTCAAGGACTTATCAGGTATTTAAAAACCAATCAGAAGTAAAAATTCAGATTTTTAGGATGTAGGTAAGACATCCGTCGCATCTTTGGTTCCCAGAATCTAAGTACAGTGCATGTTATGCTAGTATATACTCAAAAGTTGCTGAGTAGAAGTAGCTGCAAAGTACATTTTTCTTCATTGAATACCTTTATATCTTATACTGATTTCTAAAAATACACTTCTCTCCAATTAAGAGTTACTGTCATCAAAAGTACTCAGATAACTAACTCGTTATGTAAGAAAGTTCTTTTAAAAATGATGAGATAGGGCCTCCCCGGTGGCTCAGCGGTTGAGCGCTGGGTTGCGAAGCTGCCCGCAGCCTCTGCTGCGCCGGTTTGATCCCTGGATGCTCCCCGGCCACCAGAGGAGGGTCCCACACCTCTCCTGTCCCCCGCTGCTCCCCTCAGCAGTATACTTCGGTCCTTTTGCCTGCTCTGCTCCCCGCTCTGGTGAATTCTCTCACTCTCCCGCGCTTCTGACTGTACCCAGTGCTTGTATAAATAAATAAATAAATCTTAAAAAAAAAAAAAAAAGATTATGAGATAAACTCCTCGGTAAAAAGTCCATTAAGACTAAAGCAAGCTTCCGGTCAGAGGCCTCAGCAATGCAGTAACTGTAAAGAATGGGCACCAGTCTGATAAACCTGAGCCTACTCTAAAACTTGCTGTGTGATCTGCAGACAGAGGATTAAACTTTCTGAGCCTGTTTCCCAAACCTTAAAGCAGAGGTAATTTAATCCCCATCTCTCAGGGCTGCTGAGAGGATTAAATGAGATCATGCATAAATAGCAACTAGCATTGTGTCTACCACAGATAGATTATACAAAAAATGGCATGTCTCTCCAGATTATTTCAAAGATATCCCAACAATCTCAGTGAGGTAAAAGAAACACAACTTACCCCTGTATCCCTCAGGTTTGTTTGTAGAGCATGCCCAGAAGAGCATCCTCGTGTTTATCAGTGAAATAACTTCAGGTGCACAGAGTGTGTTGCTATGGAGAGAGATGAACAGGACATGAGACGACCTTGCTTACACTACAAACTATCAGCAGATCAAGTCCAAAAAAGAAAAAAGAAAAAAAAATCAGTCAACTTACCGACAGAACTCATCAGAGTCCTGGTGATCATCTCCATGAAGATAAACCAAAAGAAAGCGGAGCTCCCGCTTGGCATCATTAAGTGCCTGTGAGAAACAGAAGATCACTAATTATTACACTGACTATGCCTTGAGCTTTTAATTAGGTTAAAGTCCTAATGGATACAGCTATGTATTTAGGAACAAAAAGGAGAAATAAGGAAAAAAAGTGAGCAAGAAACCAGAAAATTACTGGGCTCCTACCTTCATACCCCTGGCATTTTTCTCCCTATAGAAAGTCCAAGCTAATAAAATTTAATGAAAAGATTTTAGTGTTGTTAAGGGTTTAAATTAGCACAACAGAGTAGACAGGCTGACAAATAAAGGTTCCTGGCAAATCACAGAAAAGTCAGCTGTTCCCACTATCTAAAGGAAGATAAAAACAGAGGAGACTCTGATCATGTGAAGAGGTAGGTGAGACTTTTGCCACTTTACAGCTACAACACTCTTGGAGATAAAAAATACTGCGAAGATGAGCCTGACTTCAGGCCACATACCAAGCAAAGATGAGGGAGTATGGGACCCAAAGGCATTCTAAAGAGCACAGGGTTTAAAAGATCTTTAAAGACAAGGCTAGTTTCTTAGATTCCTGTGTATGCATGTGAATAATCCCGAGCACATTACAATTCAATTCAGATTTCTGGAATGACCAATGTGATCTACCCCTCAGGATCACCACAAAGAGGGACATGAGAGCTGCCTATCTCCCTCATGCCTCTATTTCTAGCACTGAGCACAGTGCCTGGCATATAGTAGGTGCTTAATGCTTATTAAGTGGGAGTGGAAACAGCCAGTGAGTAGACTGGAAAGTGAAAAAAGCAGATGTGGGAGAACCAAAGCAGGAAGCAAGAGTAAGCACTTTTTCTCCAAATAGATTTAGATATCCTGAAGGCTGCAGAATAGAACCCTTTGGCCTAGGCCCACATTGCTATTTGTACATTTTCTCTGGCAAACTAGAAATATGCCTAACTACTACAGGACTCAATTTTTGCCCCCTGAGGTAACAAAGGTCTGTGTGGCTTCAGTGGAATTAGATGCGCTGCCTTGAGTCTATAGTCCATGCCCCGTTCATTTTGTGAGGGATCGAAGATTGAGGCTTTGCCTGCAAGGGGCTTATAGTCTGGTATAGGAGGTAAGTCTCATATACAAACAACACAGTAAGGAATACTGTGAAACTGCTGTAAGTCTTAAAAAATAACTATGAAAGCACAAAAGGGAAGATTACTATTTTAGATTGCAAGGTAGGCCAGGGTAGGGGACAACAATCAGAAAGGGTATAAGAGGGGAGTGATATGAGCTGGTTGAAGGATAGGCAAGATTCCAATTAGCAAAAATGTGAGGAAGGCATTCCAGGTGGAGGGAACAGCAAAAGCAAAGGCACAGAGATGGGAAAGTACAGAGTATGTCCAGGGAATGGTTTAGCTGGAACCTAGGGTATGTGGGAACAAGTTATGCAGGAAAGACCTCATAAGGAGGTTGGGATTAGATCAAAGAGGGCCCAGCTAAAAGGTTTGGTCTATTTTTCTGTAAGCAGTGAAGAGCTATTTAAGGTTTCTGAGTAAAAGAATGACATGATCAGTGCTGGGCTATGCTTTCCTTTGAGGGTAGAATCATATCAATAAATTGGCATCTATATGATTTGTGGCACTGACCTGGCTGTACGTTCCCTGGTAGAAGACAGGGTGTGCCCTCCCATATTTCTCTTCAAAAGAGTGCATAAATGAAACAATGTCCCCAACGGGGTCAGTGACCCGGCTGCGAGGGTCAGGCCGTATAAAACGAAGAGCAAACCTGGGGAGGAAGGAATAAATATCACATGAATCGGCTTACTGTAGTGCTTATGGAGTGGGCCAGTTTGTAAAGATTTCTGCAACAGAGCCAGAGGCATGGCAGCGAAGGGAGGTGAGTGGTCTGTGAGCGGACCATTAAACCTGAGAGTACAGTCTGGCTCACAATAGCCTCAGAGCAGCAAGTATTGTTCTATTGTTCCATTGCCTGTTCAAGAAGAATGCAACCTACTAGGATTATCAATTCTAACACTGGCCTAAACAAATCCAGAGTGCATTTTGCAGGACAGGCAAAAATCTAGGGCTAGAAGAAATGGAAAAGGAAGACACAGTATGCAAAAAGATCATAGGTTAGGCTGTGTCCCCATCTCTAAGAATTGCACTATCTACTATGGTGGCCTCTACACACCTGTGGCTATCTAAATTGAAGAAAAGAATTCCAGTTCTCCAGTCACTCTAGCCACTCTAAGTGTTCAATGCTTCCACAGTGGACACTGCAGATACAGAATGTTCCCATCACAGAAAGTTCTGTTAGACAGCACTACTCCGGAACAGAGTTCTGTCTCTTTCTGGTTGTCCTACTTGTTTCCTTCTCCTTTCTGTTCTCATGGGATTTTGAATTTTTAGTTCATAATCTCAAGCTATTCAAATTATGGACAGGAACGTCAAGCCCAAACTTCCAGTCATGATTACTTGCTCTTCAAAGAGGCAAGTAAATTCTGCTTGATGATTTATGGTTGACAGCTTCCAGGAGGAAGTTATAAAACGGTTCTAGAGTACACTGGCAGACTTGGAGACCTGGCAGCTTGTGTAAGGTGAAGGGTGGCACTACCCTTCTGGTTCTATAGAGCTCATCTAATCATATTTGTACAGCACCATTTATTTATCCTTTGGGTTCCCACAGAAGGCAACGGGCAGTGGCTTGGTAAGTCAATGTGCTATATAACATCAAATAGCTGCTTGGATGATATAGTTGCATTAAAATTAGTAACACATGCCATGCATATTTTTCCCCTAAGGAAAACAAACAATATTCAGATACTTAGGCGTTTTCAGTACAGAAAATCCTAACACTTTTCTTACCAAAGCTTGAGCCAACTCTTTATCCCTCCACAAATTTCCAATTCCCCACGTATATATAATTTCACTTGGAATTTCTCCTTAGCAATCAAATTAACGACACAAACATTCCACAGCATATTAAAAACAACTCTATGAAGTTGTGTATGTGGGGGAATGGTTAGAAATCCTCTAGAAGAATGATATTCTGATAACTTTCTCTGAAATTAGGCATTTTAGGATTATCTTATTCTTTTATTCCACCCATTCAAAATTTTGATAAATGGATAAAAGCTTTAGCTTTTTTGTTTCTCATTACAATATATCCCCATGGTTTACACAAACTAGAATCATCAGCTTTTCAAAAAAAGATAGCAACTCAGTCTTCATTATGATTTTAAAGGTTTTTACACTCTCATTCTCTAATAAAATAGGGATGAAAAGAGTACTTATTTAGCTAACTGGTGACCAATAATAACTCTGCTAAAGCAAGGAAGCCATTAAAGCCGGGAGTCCCATAAAACACCAAGTGGTCAAGGTAAAGGATACTGTCTGAGCCTTGTACTTCTGTAGCTACTTGGTCCTTACTCCCCACCTCTGCTCCCCAAGCAAAGCATAGCCCCTATTTGGAGGGAGGTACAGGCTGCCCTGTATATGAGGCTCAGACCACATATTCTAGCTCTACCTGTTGGCCCTGGTGTCTATAAAGCCTACGTGTGGATTCATCAACTACTCAGCTCAAGACCAAAACCCCCATGTCTGATGTGCTGGCAACATGGGCCTCCTTAACATTTTCTAGCCCCGGCTCTCTGTAGCTTCCAGAGTTGAGCTCTCTGAATGGTCCATGAAGAAGAAGAAAGATGAAGGTGTGAAGCAAGGGGACATATAAATGGGAGGGTTCCAGTGTCAGCAACCTATGGGTTGTCAGACAAGAGTGAAATGTAAGAAGTCTCTAGAGGGTAAAACAGTTGGGGAGGAATCCAGAGAAAAGTGAGTAACCTCAAAGCAAGAGGATTTGTTGGAATTATGAGTGGTAAGATGGAGTCTGATGGTTTAGGGTAAAAGTTACAAGGAGTGTGAAGCTTGGATATAACGGTGGTTAGAAAGGAAAGGTTGTGAAGATTACTGAGGGAATATAGAGGTGATAAACATGGTGGGAGGAGGGAGGATAACAATAAATGTAGGTAAACTGATTCTTAAAAACAGTAAGACTATTTGAAAACAATTCCCTATTATGTTTGAACAATTTAAAAGATTTTCATACTATAGTAAGACTTCAGGAAAAATATTCACTCTGACGACAAACTGGCAAGTCAACGTTACCAGAGCACAAACCTATTTTGGTCTATGTTTCAGTTCCTAAGTCTATCCTACTGCTACTAACATATAAATTACAAAGGTACGTACCTAAATATATCAAGTATTGTGTAATAGGTAAACCGGAATGGAAGCATTATCAAGTAGTAACCCCATCCAAGCAGCCCCTGAAATTCCAAAAACAAAGTTAGAGACCATTTTCTCTGTTCTCTAATACCTTCTAAATGGCTAGTTCAGATTTTCACCCTTTTTTTTTTATCCTTTCTTCCTCTACAGCAGAGTTCCCTCTTCTTGGCCACTCCATTCTCCTAAAGATCAACTGCTTTTCATCTCATTTCATCTAACACTACCTATATTTTCCTTTTAACATATAATTTTTGAGTTAAATCTGTCTAAACACTTTTTCTGCAGCTACATGTATTAGTTAACTCAACTGCAAATTTTCCTTCCCAAATCATAAATATTCAGTCTTTCCTTTTTGATTTACGATTAAAATATGATATACAAAAATAATATAAGAGAACCACTATATCTTGTACAGTAGTACAAGAATGACAAATAATTATATCAACCACAATTATAAATCCATATAGCCACTAAGCTTAGTAGCAATGCTAATTACTGTATTTACAATGTTGATTACTGCTACTGTTACTAACTAGCACACATGTAGGGTGCATATATATATATATATATATATATATATATATATATATATACACATACAGAGAGACACACACACGTATATGTGTTATACATGAATTTATTATGCATCATATTGCGTTAACCTGAGACCTTCTCTGGTCCATGGCGAGGGCATTCTGGAGGCCCATGGCTGATATTGGAGTCCCAAACACCAAAGTCAAACCAAAAACAAACAGGGGAGACTTTGGGTATATAGAGAACCACTCCTTGAATCATTAATTGCACTAGGAATCTCTGCTCTTCTACTTCAGGATACTACAGAACAACTTGGGAGCTCCGTTTTTCAAAAGCTGTTAAGTACTCAACAAAAAGACATGATGATGGAGTACATTCTAACTGCTGCAAGGCTGAGGGATAGACACCTTAAAATTCTAAATGCAAGTATGAGGTGGATGTAACTGCCAGAACGAGAAAGAAATTCCAAAAAGTTCTCAGGAGGTCACTGTCAGTACACACATCTGACTTCTCTAATTACTGTGAACAATGATGTGGAAAGGGGGAGGATATTTATCCATCTCTGTATCCCTAATGACAAAATATCAGGCACACTGGAGTACAATTAAATATCTGTTGAATTTAACAAACACTCTCTTGCTACTATCCCTTTCAAGACTAATTTTAAAGACATGGCCAAAGATTCTAAGTACTTCCTAGAAGAAGCTTAAAATTAAATAAAATGAAGCAACCAAGAACTCAAACATTCTAAGATATATTAAACTATTATAGGAAGAGTTTTAGACATGTAAACAAAACTATGTACTCAAAACAAACACACTTTCCAAATAACTAGTAAAGAACACCCCCCCTTCCAAAAAATGGGAAAAGGAACAAAAAAGAATAGTCACTATATCACTTCATTAAAAAACAGGGAAACATGATAAACCTCATGAATCTACCAAGAGCCAGGTCTAGCTAACAGGTTCATGTTCCAAGTATTTCTTTTGTTCCCAATATATAGAGATCAATACAACCAAATGAATGAACTTTTAAAAAGTGGGGAGAGGAGTGGAATTCTAGTCATGAAATAACTTGCCCTTGGTTGTGGTCTTGAGACAACATAGCTGTAGATCCTGTGATCTGCTGTATTAACCTGCAGGGGTCGTGATGGAGGTGGGTTGAAAACACTTGGTACACCCTCTTGCTCATTCAATCTGTCCTGTACAGCAGCCTGAGAAGTAAAAAATAGAGCAGCAACAGTTTTAGCAAAGTTCAAATTGACCTAGAAAAGAAAAGGCAACCAGTGTTTGGTGTTTTAAAACAGGATGATACAACAAAAAGTCACTGGAGGAGTGTAACTTCATGGACCTTTAACTTGCTGTAATGGGAGGCAAGGTGGTGATGGCTCCAGAATTCACTGTGGAGGAGTCCAGAAAACCAGTCTGGCAGCTACATTTATGCAGTTAGCACACTGCTTTTATTCAGATGTTGTGTGTGATTGAGGGTGAATGGGATACAGTTTCACTGTGCAAGTCTAAGGAAAGCCATCCACAGAGATGCAGTGCCCCTAGAGCTATGGAGGCAGGGTGATTAACTGGAGGGAGGGCTTGGCTTAAGAGCAGAGAAACTTACATCTGAATCCTAGCTCCACCACTCAAAAAACTCACCTGGCTTATGAATCTGGTGCCCTCATGTGCAAACTGCAGAACAGTATTTCTCAAAGTCAATGTGAAAATTTAATGAGAAGACCATACATTAAGATCCTAATACAATTCATGACAGATGATATTCAATAAAAACAAAAACTTTCCTTAACTCTGCCCCTGAAAACAGATCTATGTCCCACTGTAGTAAAAAATACTGGCCTCAAAGAGAGGTCTGGTCTTTGCCTTTACCTATGAGAGTTAATCTGTCTTTATTGCCAGATCTTATAGGTGGGGATGGCTACCCCAGAAAAAGCAACTGGGTGACTTAGGGTGGGGATTTGTGTAACTCATTATCAGTCTACCTGGAGAGTGAGTTCAATCAGGTAGACAACCAATCAAATCAATCATGCCTATGCAATGAAGCCCTAATGAAAACTGTGGACACAGCAACTCAGGGGAGCCTCTTCCCTGGTTGACAAAACTTCATGCCTTTGATCATACATTCATGCCAGGAGAGTAACAGATTTGATGAGAAGTATGGAAACTTTCTGTTTGGAACTCAAAACTGAAGTTCTCTTTAGCTGTTTTAATCTGTATCCTTTTTCTATATTTAAACTATAACTATGAGTATAACAGCTTTCAGTGAGTTCATCTAGTGAATTATCAAAGCTGAGGATGATTTTGAAACCCCTGAACTTGTATTTGCTGCCAGAGGTGAGGGTGGCCTTTTGGATTAATTGTATGCCCGCCCACTAATCTTGATAGCTGGCTTTAAACCTGCAGTGTGGCTAACTCCAAGTAGTTCTCATGTTTTCAAGTAGTAAAGATCAATTTGATGAGAGAAAGAATACTCTTTCAGCAAAGGGTGCTATTAATGAATTTCAATATGTAATAAAATGCATCAACATTTGGAAGTATGTATTAATACAGTAACCAATATATGAAGCTATAAAATTGGTAGAAGATCCATTCAAAGTGCAAGCAGAACAATAGATTTCAATGTAAAAGAGGATGAACTCCTTGATATTCTTTCAAATTCCATATTGCTTTTATTTATTTATTTATTTGTTTGTTTGTTTTGTTTATACATGCACTGGGCACAGCCAGAAGCGCAGGAGGGTGAGAGAATTCACCAGAGCCAGAGCAGGGAGCAGAGCAGGTAGAAGGACCGAAGCACACTGCTGAGGGAAGCAGCGGGCCGCAGGAGAGGTCTGCGCGCCATGCGGGACCCTCCTCTGGTGGCCGGGGATCGAACCAGCGCCGCAGAGGCCGCGGGCAGCTTCGCAACCCAGGGCTCCACCGCTGCACCACCGGGGAGGCCCTCAAATTCCATATTGCAACTTTAAGAAACTACCACAATATTAAAGAAAATTCAGTTATCTAAAAAAGTTATTGAAATACTCCTCCCATTTCCAGCTACGTATCTGGGTAAAACCAAATTTTCTTCATACACTTTAAAACAACATATCACAACAGATTGAAGGCAGAAATTGATATGAAAATCCAACTATTTTCCATTAAGTCAGACATTTAAGAGATTTATATTTACATTAACATAAAGAATTGTGAACACAGATTCTGAATCATATACATTGCTGTAAACCTCAATAGAAAAATACAAAAATAATTCATGTTAACTTGCAACAAGCTTTTTCAATAAACTAATTTTTTCATTTTATTTTGTAATATGGTAATATTTTGTAATAATAAATTAAAAAGAAAAAACATAAGAAAAAGGGTCGTCAATAATTCTGAAGTGTAAAGAATGAGACCAAAAACTTTGAGATCTTTTGGTTTTCTTGGGAAAATACACATGTTTTCAGTCAGGCACAAGTACATCTGGCAGGAAAAAAGTCATAAAAGAATTTGTGAATACTGCAACCCTGGGAGTGCAGGGGGATTCAGACATAATGGTAAGGAAATGAATCAAGCAGGATTTTTTTTCTTTTTTTTTTTTTTTTTTTTTTTAAATTTATTTATTTGTACAAGCACTGGGTACAGTCAGAAGCACGGGAGGATGAGAGAATTCACCAGAGCCAGAGCAGGGAGCAGAGCAGGCAGACTGACAAAGTACACTGCTGAGGGGAGCAGCGGGCGGCAGGAGAGGTCTGCGCGCCATGTGGGACCCTCACCCTGTGGCCGGGGAATGAACCGGCGCTGTAGAGGCTTCGGGCAGCTTCGCAACCCAGCGCTCAACCGCTGCGCCACCGGGGAGGCCCAAGCAGGATTTTTTTTCATATTATACCTTAGCTTTGTTATAACTGTTTTTTACTAACTAAAAGAGATAAAATTGAAATGTAAATATGGCATAATCTCATCTATGTAATAAGAAAATTATATATAAATCTACAGAGCCATGTAAATGAACATTAAAAAGTTTGTAAGATTATACACTAAAATTTAACACTAGCGATCTAAGAAGTGGTGGGATTAAGGGTGATCATTTTCTTCTGTATCTCTTCAAAGTATTTACCTGTGTGGGTGTGCACAAGTGCACCAGTATTTTTACAATAAGTTTTTATTAACTTTATGCCAAATAATTGTAAACCAATAAATGAAAAAGGCAGGGGTACAGTATTAATCTAATTAGAATTTAAAGAAAGCATCATCTAATATAAGCAAAACAAATCATTACAAGGGAGTTCTAACAGCTATGTGTCTTTGTGTGTCAAATAAAATAGTCAAATTGTTAGAGGAGTGGCACCCACCCCTGTAGCCCTGAGTATCTGAACTCTTCTTTGACATCCTGAGTAAGGAGGCTTCTGAGAAGGGGGTGGAATATACCGTGGGAATTTAAAAGCCATAACACACTGAGCCAGCTCTTATCTGCTCTCAGCTCCTTGGTGGTCAATGACATCAGACCATGTGATCCTCTGGTCTCCTCTTTAGTTGGCTGCCTGGCTTCTTTCCACCATGTGCGTAGCCACCTCCAGGTTTCCCTTCAGCAGGCATGCTGCCATCTTTACATGCTGGCTACTGCTTCCTCTGCTAAGGAACTTCTTGTCATTTTGCCATAGTTGGCGACTGCTTCAACTCTGAACCATGGACACTATCTGGGGTAGGATAAAATAACTTTCTCACTGTCTTAGTTCTCCATTTTCTAACTCCCTGTTAATAAACCTACTATTGTTTTTTCTCCCCACATGTCTGTTTTTGAGTCATGTCCTGCAGTTGTAATCGTGTAGGTAAGGAGAGAGACCGCTAACAGGGTCTTTTCCCCTTTCCCCTGGGATTGCTTGGTTTCAAAACTATACAGAAGTCAGCAATTTTTTCTAACATTTCTAAGTCAAAATGGACATAGAATTCATTAATGTATTTTAGATGTAAGCATTCTTTTTGACACAATTGTTATTAACACTGGAAAAGTATATACATATTATAAGCATACTGATTATATACATTTTAAAGGATATATACTAAAGCAGCAAATGTGGTTATCTCAAGTATGATGATCAAGAACTTTCATTTTGAACTTCATAAACTCAATTTTTCATAATGTTTCATTTTTATAAACAGAAAAAATAACCCAAAGATATTACTAGTGGGGGGCCTCCCTGGTGGTGCAAGGGGTTAAACACCCCACTATGAAGCAATCCGCAGCCTCTGCAGTACGAGTTCAATCCCCGGCCGGCCAGGGAGCAACTCACATGGCGCAGCAGACCTCTCCTGTCTCGACCCCTGCTCCTCTCAGCAGTATTATTTCAGTCAGTCTGCCTGTTCTGTTCCCCACTCTGTCTCTGGTGAATCCTCTCATCCCCCGCATCTCTGGCCTATACCCCAGCTCTTAAATACATAAATAGGGCCTCCCCGATGGTGCAGCAGTTGAGCGCTGGGTTGCGAAGCTGCCCGCGGCCTTTGCGGCGCCGGTTGGATACCCGGCTGCTCCCCGGCCACCGGAGGAGGGTCCCACATGGCGCGCAGACCTCTCCTGCCGCCCGCTGCTCCCCTCAGCGGTGTACTTCGGTCCTTCCGCCTGCTCTGCTCCCCACTCTGGCTCTGGTGAATTCTCTCACCCTCCCGTGCTTCTGACTGTACCCAGTGCATGTATAAACAAAACAAACAAACGAACAAATAAATAAATAAAACATGCCTCTATTAAAAAAAAAAAAAGTTTTTAAATACATAAATAAATCAATCTTAAAAAAAAAAGAGATATTACTAGTGGGAAATAGAGAAAACTATAAAACCACATTTAAGTTCATTGTTTCATGTGATTTCATTAAACAAATAGGAAAGAAAAGGGAAATAGAAATTTTTAAGTATACATTTTAGAACGTCTGATTGAATACAGACTTTAAACCTTTATTCCACAAAAACCACATCCCTTGATAAATACCTAGTTGTGACCAGAGGTTACATGTGGAAAGAAGGAAATAAAAGGAGTTTGGGGGGATGTGCAAGCAACTTACATAGGGCTTCAATTTTATCCATGTTTGTTTGAAAAAGTTTTAAACAAGTATTGCAAAATGTTTGGCTTTTAGGAGCAATATGGCAGGTGCAGGGTTATGTTGTCTATTCTGTATTTTTCTCTAAGCTTAAAATATTTAATTAAAAAATATGTAACCTCAATAGACACCTATAGAAAATAAGATTACTATGAAAAGTGTAAACAAAAGCAAAAAAATAAAATACTAGGTGCTAGGAATTCCAAATACGTGCCGAAATAACTCGAGACAAAGAAGAAAATCAAACCTTTTAAAATATATTTCCAGAAGACAATTCATATCTTTAAATGCAAGGAAAAGTACAAATAAGTTAACCAAAATGTAAAAATTGAAGTTTGGGGAAAAAAAGAATATAAATAAATATACAAAAAGTGAAAATATACCAGTTTTCTAATAAAAAACCAGAAAGGAACTGATTACTATAAGAGCTTTTTATTAACCAAATAGAGATCCAGGGGGCCTTCCTGGTGGCACAAGGGGTTAAGACACAACCTATGAAGATGAAGCTTGAAGCAGGAGTTGGACCCCTGGCCAGGGAGCTACCCACATGGAGCAGGAGACCTCTCCTGACTAGCCCGCTGCTCCCCTCAGCAGTGTATTTTGGTCTATCCGCCTGTTCTGTTCCCCACTCTGTCTCTGGTGAATTCTCTCACCAAGACCCTCCCCCCACCTCTGGCCTGTGCCCCAGTTCTTGCATGCATAATATTTAAAAAAATGCTTTAAAAAAAGAGTTACAATCTCCAGCAAGCCTTATATTTAAAAAATTAAATAAAAAAAGATAAGAAAACACAGAAAAATTGGAAACTGAAAGGAATGCTACTATGCTAAAAAACTGAACATTTCTACGAAAAAAGCATTTTCGAAGAAAGCACATTAATTTTTCTCAAATTTTATTGACGTTCCAATCATGTACATACCTATATAATTTTGAGAATAAAATTTCACACCTCCATTTATACATATCCATCACTTACCCTCCACCAAAGTACCAAGAATGGAAGAACAGTCAGCAAATATTTACTGAATTATGATGTGCTAGGATTAGTTTTCAATACCAGGACTAATTTTAGATGCTGGGGCTACAACACTTACCAAAGTAGGAAAAAAAAAAAAAAAAAGGTTTCTGCTTTCATGGAGTCTATATTCTAGTGGGTCCTCTCAAAACAAAACTCATCACACTTAATAATACAACACCAGAGGCATTATAAGTGAGGACAGCTACTATTAACATTAGCAAATGACACTGTTCTGAAATTCTAGCCAATTCAATGATCAAGGAAAAGAAACAAAAGATCCATGTACTGAACAAATCATTAAGTTGAAGACAGCATAACTACCTAGAAATTCAAAGGAATAAACTAAATAATAAGGTATCTGGGTTATAGCGAATATACAAAAAGACAATAGTTTTCCCAAAGAGCCATTAAGAAAAAATTGAGGGAGGTGTATATTATATTGAGGGATCTGGTTACCAACTTTTCTATGATTTTGTAAACTTTGATCTTAATCTCCACTTTTTCCACACATTTATTTCCACTTCTTCCACACATTTATTTGTAAAGACTAAGGAGTTACACATTTGGGGAAAAATATCTATTGAGAAAAGATTCTTGCTGTGGAAAAAATACATGTCTTCGGCTCATTATCAGACCAAAGAAAAAAAAGCTCAGAATGAATCCTATTATAAGCTAAGAATGAATCCTATTATACCTCTATGTTCCAGTTATGCTGTTCCAAGGTATGGCGACACTGATCCATAGATTCTATGCCAGTCAGATCCTGAAAAGAAGGATAAAAACAAAGTTACTGAGGGAAAAATCAACAGCACATATTTGGGTATTTTTACCTCTTGAATAACGATGACTATTGCTGAAAAAAAAAAAAAAAAAAAAGACAAGTGTTGAAGGGCCTGTGAGGCTATCCACAGCCACTGCAGCACGAGTGCCATCCCCCAACCAGCCAGGGAGTTGTGGCGCAGCAGACCTCTCCTGACTCGCCTGCTGCCTCCCCTCAGCAGTGTACTTGGGTCAGTCTGCCCGTTCTGCTCCCCACTCTGTCTCTGGTGAGTCCTCTCACCCCCGCACCTCTGGCCTGTACCCTAGTTCTTGTATGCATAAATAAATAAATCTTTTGAAAAAAATAAAAATAATAAGAGTTTGTAATTCAGATGTTTCCCTATGGCAAGTATTTTCCCTACTCCGTTCGTGGACTAGTCTTGGATTCATGTTGTATCTAAAAACAATAAAACTCCTCTGGCTCCTTTTCTATGGATGTGCCCTGGGTTTTTGTCTCCCTATATACTCCCTCCTAGCAATCTCATGTAATCCTCAGTATTCAATCATCCTTTATACTCAAATGGCTCAATTTAATTTCTGCACCTGCCATCTCTTCTGAAGGTCAGCAGCATATTTCCAATATCCTATTCAACAATTTAAAAAAGGGTCACAGGAGAGGACAATCAGTTTAATTGTCTATCTTCAATATCCTGAAATACTAAACCTAATTTGCAAGCAAAATCCTTCTATAAGTAGTGAATCAGTGTAAGCTGGAAGCACAATTTAATAGGCCCCCCCTTTTTTTAAAAGATTTTATTATTTTTATGCATACAAGAACTGGGGTACAGGCCAGAGGTGCGGGGTTAGGAGGGGGCGGGGTGAGAGGATTCACCAGAGACAGAATGGGCAGCAGAACAGGCAGATCGACTGAAATATATTGCTGAGGGGAGCAGTGGGCGAGTCAGGAGAGGTCTGCTGTACCATGTGGGTTGCTCCCTGGCCTAGATCAAACTGGTGCTATAGTGGCTGCGGACAGCTTCATAGATTACGTCTTAACCCCTTGGGCCACCAGGGAGGCCCTAATAGTTCCGCTTTTAATCACTATTTTTGAGTATTATAATTATGTACTAAGAATAAGCAATGCTGAATACACTTAGGACAAGACTTATTCATATATCAACAAACACTCCCTGATCCATTATTCTAAATATCTAGGATACAGATATAGTCCATGTTACTCATTAAGTTTGTTGTATCCTACTAGAAGGAGTCTGAGTAAAACCAAACACACACACACACACACACACACACATGGGGACTCACAAAATTTAAATTTTAGTCTAGTCTAGGGGATTCCTTTGGATTGGGTGCTCAAAAAAGGCCTCGCCACAAGCGGTTAAGTCTCAGGCGCTAGGTAATTTTTTTTTTCAGGTGACTACAATATACACAGGGGAGTCACTATCCAGAGCCTTAACACCAAGTTCAGCAGAATAATCATGATTATATGTACATATTTTTAAAAAAGTAATTGTGGCTGCTGTAAGAGGAATTCATTGTGGAAGGCATAAAAAAGAGCAAGACACCAGTAAAAGGACTATACAGAATCCCAAGCAAGGGGGAAAACAGTGGCTTAGGTAGAATAAGATGGCAAAAGTTAAGAGGAAAGGGGACAGATATATGATATATTGTAAAGGCAAAATTAAAAAATTGTAGAAGTTGAAAAATAAGTAAACTATTCCAATTCACATTGGATAGGGCTGGTTTTCCATGTGAGTCAAGGTTAAGTATGTCTCAAGCCAAAATCCGTTCCCCCCATTTCAGTGCCAACATGAGTTTTAAATTAAAGCTTTGTTCAGAAAGAATACTGTGATTTTGGCTGGAGAAATTACATCAGCTTTGCAACCAGTTCTTCAGCGATAAGTGTAATGTTTGGCTATTAGCACTTATGGAAGAGGGGAAACAAGTTAAGAGACTGGTGGATTTAATAACCTCAATCACTCATTTTTAAGTTGCTCACAAATTAATTTCTTTAGAATCCAACAAATATAAATCTTTTGGAAGGAACTTTCTTTTGAGACCAAGAATTAGTTTATATCACCAAGACCCACTCCCATACCTTAAGCATACAGTAGGAAATGGTTAGTAAATGACTCTTCCCTCACACCAAAAACTTGTTTACACATCATTCACTAGTTTTTAAACTTTGTTTTACTTTTCAACAATCCTGAGACAGATATCGCCATCCCGACTATTAACAATGGAGTATATTGAGACTTTCAAAAGAGCACCCCCACCAATTCAGCAGCTCCATTGGCAGCCTCTTCTAACTGGCTTGCTCAGAAGTCTGGTTCACATTCAGTCTACTGATACTTGAGATGGCACTGGACAAAATAGTTGCAATGGATATAAAGGTTAACTTTGGTTCATGGATAAAAAGTTAACTTTCGCACCTCCTTCTTCCTCTAATCTTTGAGGACCAGCGTCTAATGTCAACCACAAATCCCCTATTGGGCAGGCCCCTTAGGTTTGTATTACTGAAAAATATCGCTTATTCCAAGGTGATCTTCTCTTCCTTCCCCTCCTCAGGTAACTCCCCTTCATGAATTGCAATTTACATTGCAACTGACATTACTACAGGACAGTATTGATCTTCAGAGCAAAAAATACCGAGCCCCAATATCTAACAAGTAAAATGCACAGGGAAACTGGAAGAAAGTGAACGAACTATTCTATACCCTTCGATTGCAGCCATAGTTTAACTTCCTTTTCTCCCATGTCAGCAGATAAGAGGATGTCAACCACTTGGGAATTACTTCTGAAATACTATGATCCTTCATCTATCTCTTGCTTAAGTATGATTCAAGGAAGGTATTACAAACAATAGATGGCATGTTTTTTTTTAAGATTTATTTATTTATTTTTTAATATAATAGCTGGGGTAAAGGCCAGAGGTGCAGGAGGGTGAGAGGATTCACCAGAGACAGAGTGGGGAGCAGAACAGGCAGACAGTGGCCTGAAAGCACTGCTGAGGGGAGCAGCGGGCAAGACAGGAAAGTTCTGCTGCGCCATGTGGAAATCTCCCTGGCTGGCCGGGAATCTAACCTGTGCTGCAGAGGCTGCGGACAGCTTCACAGTGCTGTGCTCAACCCACTGCGCCACCAGGGAGGCCCAGCATAGTGGTTTTTTTTGTGTGTGTGTTTTTTTTTTTTTAATAGAGGCATGTTTTTATTTATTTATTTGTTTGTTTGTTTTTTTGGTTTGTTTATACATGCACTGGGTACAGTCAGAAGCGCGGGAGGGTGAGAGAATTCACCAGAGCCGGGAGCAGAGCAGGCAGAAGGACCGAAGTACACTGCTGAGGGGAGCAGCGGGCGGCAGGAGAGGTCTGCGCCATGTGGGACCCTCCTCCGGTGGCCGGGGAGCAGCTGGGGATCGAACCAGCGCCGCAGAGGCTGCGGGCAGCTTCGCAACCCAGCGTTCAACCGCTGTGCCACCAGGGAGGCCCCCAGCATAGTGTTTTAAACAGATGTCTTTTTCAACTATGTGGATTGGGATTGGATAACTATAACGTAATCACCTTGCTTTCCTAAGAAGTGTTTGTCTTTCCATACCTCATATGTTTATACTAACAAACTCTGTAAGAGGTTAGTATGAAATCTCAATTCTCTAAATTCCAAATGGCTTGTTAACTGTAGTTTGTTGAGGATGCACATTTTAACTTTTTTCTCAGTGACTCCCAGAGAGAAATTTGGCTAAAATCGTGAATATTTGTTCTCTTCTTCCTATACAGATAGCTTTGCTTTTTGCAATAAGCAGTATGCCTTCTCTGGTAGAGGCTGGAGAAATGAAATCTGAAGTCTCTTCAGGAAATGAAGTGATTACACCAAGGTTCTAAATTATAATTAAAATTCTCACACAGAACTGAGGAAAAAAGAACAAGCAAAACCACAAAACCCACCCTGATACAAAAATGAGCAAAGGAAATGAATAGACATTTTCCCAAAACATATACAAATGACCAATAAACATCTGAAAAGATCTCAACACCACTAATCATTAGGGAAATGCAAATCAAAACTATAATGAGCTATTTCTTCATACCTAGTGGATAGCTAGTACTTTAAAAAAAAAAAAAAAAGAAAAAGAAAAGTGGTCAGGATGTGGAGAAACTGGAACCCTTGTGCAGCTGGTGGAAAAGTAAACTGCAAGGTACCTCCACTATGGAAATCAGTATGGTGGGTTCCTCAAAAAATTAAAATAGAATTACCCTATGATACAGCAATTCCACTTCTGGTAATTGAACACTCTTGAAGAGCTATTTGTAGTCCCATGTTTATAGCAGCATTATTTATAATAGCTAAAATGTTTTAAAACCCAAGTGTCCACTGACAGAAGAAAATATGGTATACACATCCAACTGGATATTATTCAGACTTCAAAAGGAAAGAAAATTCTATAGTATACTGCAACATGGATGAACTTTGAGGACATTATGCTAAGTCAAACAGCTAGTCATATAAAAGCAAAGACTGTATGAGTCCACTTATATGCGATATTTAGTCAAAATCAGACACAGTAGAATGGTGGATGCCAGCGGTTAGGAGAAAAGGGAAATGGAGAATTGTTTAATAGGTATGGGGTTTCAGTTTTACAGGCATTATGGTAATGGATATTAGCAATGGTTACAATATTATGAAGGTATTTACTACCACTAAATGTACATTTAAAATGGTTAAGATGGTAAATTTTATATGTATTTAACCACATAAAAAATTGGGGAGGGGGGAAGACACTTAAAAAACATTGTGAAGCCTTCCCTGGTGGCACAAGGGGTTGAGCACCGCACTATGAAGCAATCCGTAGCCTCTGCAGCACGAGTTCGATCCCCAGCTGGCCAGGGAGCAACCCACATGGCACAGCAGGCCTCTCTGACTCTCCCACTGCTCCCCTCAGCAGTGTGTTTCAGTCAGTCTGCCTGTTCTGTTCCCCACTCTGTCTCTGGTG